AACTTCTGGTTTATTTATCATAAAAGTTACAATTTAGCCATGCATGGTGACAAGTTTTCCAATGATTCAATAAGAGCAAAGTGATATTGCTCTTAGGCATCTACTCAAAGGAACATAGGTCAGGATACAGTAGAGACACCCATACACCAATGTTCATCACAGCACTATTCACAATAGCCAAGCTATGGAAACAACCCAGATGCCCTACAACCGATGAATAGATCAAGAAAATGTGGTGTATGTACACAATGGAATTTAACTCAGTCATAAGGAAACATGACAACATGTGATTTGAAGGTAAATAGGTACAATTAAAGGATATCATGTTAAGTGAAGTAAGCCAGGCTCTGAAAGACAAAGCTTTATGTTTCTTCTCATGCATGGAGGACAGATCCAAAAGATAAGCATACACACAAAAACAAACATGATCATATACAAACGCATATGTAGAACATGTTTGTGACAATGGAACTACTCTATGGAACTCAGGGAAGGAAAAAGAAAATGATAGAGCATTAGCATCATAAAACATGAAATCTGTGAAGGTAAAGGAGACAGGATATGTATTGAAAGCTGTTAATGGGGTTGGGAGGTAAAGGGGTAGGGAGAGTAATGAAAGGGGCTGAATGGACCAAAGTAAACTATACTCACATCAGGGGTACATTGAGAAAACCTTTTGAACACTGACTTAAATATTAACAATAAAAGACAGGACTATAAAACAGGTACAGTGTGTGTGGGGGTACTTGTGGGAGGGAGGAGGGTGAATGAAATAGATTATGGTGGGGGAATATGGTTGATGAATTTTATATACTTATATGAAATAAAACAAAGAAACTCTGCAATTGCTTTACCTGGAGCAGAAGGGGGTCGAGGGAGAGAGATGGTGAGGATGATCTAACCAATATACAATATAAGCCTACTTGGAATTGTCACAATGAATCCCTCCTATACAACAAATATATTCTAGTAAAAAAGGAGCATCTTGCATTTCTTACACTATTGTAATTATAGAACACATTGTAATTAAGAGAAAATGAAAACTGACCTTTCTCTTTGAGATGAAGTAATGCTAAGCATTTGAAAGACAGAAGATTTATGATTCTAATGAGCCTAAATAGAATTTAAGGGAATGAAACTCTGCTTTCTCTTGGGAACTATCATTTTTCCTCCATGTCAGTACCACAGATTTAACAAAATAGCCAATGTATTGGAACATGAGAATTTCAATTGTGAATTCATATGGCATTTCAATGTGACATGCTGTTCTGCAGAGCGCAGATATTTGGTGCAATCCATCAACTATTTTGTCAGTACTGGTATAACACAAAACCATGTACTGAGAAGCAGACATAAACACATAGATAAAGCCAGCATTTTCACTTGCTCACTGCAGCACATATGACAGTCCTTTCTCCTTAGAGTCTATTCAGGTGAACTACAAAGTACAAACAGAAATGGTCTTGCTTCCTTAAGTGGTGTAGACAACATTCCAAGAGATCCAATAAGATCCCCAGGTCCAACAGTGATCTGTTTTCTGGCACAAATGCCAGAAGGATGGTTACAACCTGTGAGAGGAGACTTTCCTCCCCTCTTCCCAGAATCTTTACTAAATGTACCAAAAAGTACACTGTACACTGACTTAGAAGACTAAATCTCTAAGGAAGTAAACTGGAATTGCAAACTCAGCAAATTATGTGTTTGTGCTTTATTTTCTTCTCTCATCAAAGATAATGTTCCCTTCTCTCCACTGTGTCATTCTTTCTTCTAAGTGTTACCTCCTAGTCTAACCATTCACCCCCTGAACATGCTACTCTACTCCTTCACTGATACTGTCCTGACTGAGACATTAGGGCCATTTAAGTCAATCCTGAGAGGGCACCTCAGGGGCTTCTGGCAGGGGAGAGGCACCTGGCATCTACTCAAGCGTTAGTGTGCATGTGTGGCAATGGGGAAGAGTGTACAAAGAACTGTCTTCAAGTGAGGGAAAGAAAATATGATGGAGGAAGAAAGATGCAACCAAGTTGGGCAACACATTTAAGATGTGGATATTGGCACTTCCTGTAAAGCATCCTACTGATAAAAGAGTCACCAAAAGGGATTTTCTTTAGGTGTAGGTGCTGAGTAGTTTGGTAAGTAAATGCAATAAGTACAAATCTAATCAATTAGACTTATTTATAGCCAAGGAATCTATCTTAACTTTTACCAGAGCAAATGAAATAAGCACTATTTCATGTGGTAGAAATAGGTTGTCCTGCCTACTCTCAACTTTCATTCTATACCAACATTCTTTTCCACTGTTGGGTTAATCTAGAACATAAGGTGAAGTCCACTTATATAAATAAATAATAACCATTTATTAAATTTTTGCTGTTTGCCTGGAACTATTTTCAGAGAAAAATAATAAAATTCATTAATGAATAAGGCTAGTTCCTTATTTCATTTAATGAACAAAATATATAATAATTTAGCTATTTTAATGTCCCTGTTACAGGTGAGGAAATTATAGCTCAGAAAGTTTAATTTGCCCAATGCTCCATAGCTAGAAAGGTTTCCTCTCCTCATGAGCCCAACAAGAATCCAGGCTGTCAACCATCAACTCATTTGTTCTTTCTTCTCAGATCCACACTATTTTGTTTCTTGACCTTAGACAGCTTAAGTATTTTGTATTTTAATATCACAGAGCAATCAGTTTAAATTCTACTTTGATGATGAAACTTAGCCAGTTGAATAAAGCTATTTATGTAACAGAAACAACCAGCAAGAAAGTTAGAGGGCAAAGATTGATGGTACAAATTCTATGTTTCCATTACACTGTTTAGTTAATTGTTCCATGCTTAAGAAAACAAAGTGGTGGGTGGCCCAGCTACTTCTTTATCCAGAAATCTGCCCCAGACATTGACATTACATTTTTAATTTAGTAGCATAACCCCAACCATGATACACAGTTTAGTGCATGATAATAATGAGCAGAAGACCCAGCAAGCAAAATCCAAGGAGATGAATTAAAACACAAACACACGCACACACACACTCACACACACACACGCACACACCTGTTACTAGTAAAGATTGTGAGAAATATACATGCAAACATGGGGTTGAGCTAGGCTGGGGGAGGTATCTAAAAGCCTTTGCTAAGGTCCTGAGTGACAGTTGAAATAAAGACCGATAAACCATCTTCTCTTTTCCTCAAAGATCAAGAAGAACTGAGAATTTTAGACATGTTGCTTTTGCAGATGTGCATTCCTTCTGGCCACAAACAGATGATGCTTGCCCTTGGTGTGCAGGTAAGATTAAAGTGATTGGCTCCTTCTGGAAAGTTCCTCTCTAGAGCTTGGCAGGACTTCTTGGCTCCTTCTGTGCTATATTGGTTTGGCAGCACATCCTGAATTTTACTTCTTGACTTGGACAGAAGAGTGTAGCCTGGATTTGTTGAGTACCGGTAAATTTATAGAACATAGACCATATGAACTCAGGAAGACCCCAAGGTGCACAAGTAACAGTAAATACAGGGATTTGCAAAATATGATTCAAAGTTTTGCTGTGGTAAGCTACATATATTGTATTTTTTCCATAAAAACTAAGCTATTGAAATGTTAGGAGCAATATGGAAATTTGCTTATTTTTTAAAGAAATGAAATGGACAAAATTCAAAGTTGAAAGCCAGGGTCTCTGATCCTCTGAGTTCAGAAAATGTATGCATGCATATTAAACTCTCTGATCTTCCTATGTGCCACCTTATTTAAATTTAGTCTGTAAATGGCTTTAAAATGTAGCACTGCTCCTTTTGTACAATTAACACATTCTGTAATGAGGACAGTGGTAACAATATTGAATAGCACATCTTACTGTTACACGTATAGCATGTCATGGTTTTTTTTCATTGTTTTTACATATGCTCTCTCTTGGTCTGCCTCTGAGCACTGTTAAGTACAGTGCACACCTCTAATCACAGTTGCACAGGAGGTGGGGACAGGGGATCTCACAGGAGATCCAATGGAAGATTCCTCATCTAGTTTTGAAAGAGGAGAGTGGGAGGAGGCAGGGAAGAAAGAAAAGAAGGGAAGGAAGGAAAGGAGGGAGGGAGGGAGAAGAAAGCAAATTTAGTGATGGAAAAGGAAATAATGAACAATGGCATAGCTAGGAGCTACCAGGAGGGTACACCAGAGACCTATCACTGAAGTTCCCGTCTAGGGTTCTTTCCTCTGCCTCATACTGTCTTGACCGTGTTGCTATTGAAATTCTCTCTCTCTCCCTCTCTTTCTTTCTCTCTCTCTCTCTCTCTCTCTCTGAGCTAAAAAACCTGGAAGACAAGACAAAGATAAAAGGAAATCATTAGCTTTCATTCTAGATTCTAATGTAAAATGTCATACTTTTCACTTGGAATTGATGCAATATGCCACAAGAGGGAAATCTAACAAGGAGAAAATAGAGTTTGGGTATTTTTGGTAGATACTTTTCACTAAAGAAAAGAATGGACATTATTAGTTAACATTTTAAAAAATATATATACCCACCTTCCTAAATATACATGTATATGTACACATTGATTAGTAGACAACTACCTTCACATTTCAAACACACTGCTTCACATTTCAAACACAAGTCAGGACTTGACTTGGCCACGACACTCCAAATTGTTCCCAAAATGCAGCCCATCAAACTGCATCTGAAGTACACAAAGCATAACAGAAAGAGAAGGAAAACAAAAAGCCTTTCCTTATATAATGGATTTAAATGTCCAGAGTTTTGAGTTCCTGAATGAAGCAGAAATTTCTCTTTCATAACAAACCTCTCTCTCTTCTCTGTCTCTATCTCTAGCTGTTTATTGTAAATGCTTTTGTAGATTTTTCAGGAACAGCTTTTTATCTGGAGATTACGGCTGCCTGAAAGATTTATAGAATATAACAAAAGCTTCACCCCAAAGTTTCTATGCATTGCAAAGTTTGCACTTGGATAATAGAAATATTTAGCCTCAGGTGACTGAGAACACTTACTGTTGGTTGCATAACGTATGGCGGATGAGGCATCCATGAAGTACTCTGGACCTATGCATCAAACAGCATTTATTAGCACAAAGCAATCACAGAGAGAACCTGGTTCTTGTGTTCAGTGGAGTCGCACTAGGTCATAAGAAAGTGGATTCCATCTGACTTTACAACTAATTAGTGCTCAAAACCAAGGACAAAGGGAATTCTTGGACCTGATGGATTTGGTGCCTGAAACACAAGGCAGCTTTCTATCTCACCAGCTGCATATGGTTCAGCCTAGATTCTGAAGTGAATTTGAGTGAGTGTTGAAGACTAAATTCTTAGGAGGCCTCAGAGACCATTTGCACATCAACTCCCAGGATGCCATTGCAAGTAATGAAGGCAGCAAGAGCTGACTGCTAAAACTTCCTGTTTTTCTGTCATAACTTCAAGTGCTCAGGTATTCCTATCTTAGAAGTATATCCAAGTAGTAAAAGTGGAGGTAAGAACTAAAGAACTAAACCAGAACATTTGGGTCAAATGCTTTTTATTAAACAAGTTTGTGACTATTTTTTCCTGTCATGGCAATTGGTATGACAAATAAAAATGTGTATTTCAGCCATCCCACCCTTCTTAAATGTATCATGTGTCAGCCATATGAGACAGTCAGCATGTGCAAGCTGATTGTCACATAGAAAACCAAGAAGACTTTGTTTTGCAATATACTCACAGCAATGAATTTGGATTTTTTAAAAGTGGTGCAAAGCAAGAATCCACAACATGGAAAATTGTAATCTCATTTGAAGAAGACAGCTATAGTTAAATTCCACTTAGGAGCCCTCCCAAGTAAAATATCTGCAGATATTTTATTCAAATCACCAAAGTGTTCCACAGTGGCTTAATGGGTGGTCTTGGCTGAAGCAGAGGCCAAAGTTAGAAAAACTCGCTCACACACACACACACACACACACACACACACAGGCCTGCAGGAAGAGCAAAAATTGAACAACACCTGCAGATAGCCTTATGGGTTTCAAGAAAAAAGCAATTAAGAAATCTAAGGACTTCCTAATGCAATTCAAACAAATGTCTATTCCATTCGCTCAGGCACATGTTTCAAGGTCTGAGTGCAGAGAAAGAATGGAAACGATCTGTGTCAGGGGGAATCAGTCGTTAAAGAAAAATGCAGTGTCTTGAGCCTGAGGCTCTAACAGAGGGGACGTCCTGAAATCAAGTATGTAGGGACTAAATAAGGGGAAACTTCCCTGAATCGTAGCATCCAGTGACATATTAGTTGTACCCTCAGAAACATCTACCCTCCCCCTGGCAAAATGTGAGATGCACATCAGGCACACGCTTTTGCTCTTTGTCTTTTTTTCTCCAGATTTTTTAAAAAGACACTAGATGCTTTCTAATATGTAGCAAATATAGGCATTTTCTAATTAGAATAGAATTGGAAGAATTGTGTGAAGAACAGTATTAGGTAAAAGGGAGAAGGGAGTAATATTACATATTTGCTATTTCAAAGGAATAAAATAAGGAGTACATTTTGAGGGAGAAATGTGCCCATTTCCATCCATTTGTTTTATAACACCTGGTTCAGGACACCCGAGTCTCAAATTTTCCTGTGTTTCAGCAGGTAGATGCCCTGAGGTTGCTTCTGATCTCTCTGAAGCTGAGAGTGAAGTAGTGGGAGTGACTTTTTTTGCCACCTAGTTAATGTTCCTATGTGGAAGTAAGTAAGGCTTACATCTATCTGTGTAGCTTTACCAGGACAACTGTGACAAAATGAGATGACAATGATAAAATATCCTGGAGTAAGTGAAGGAATTGCTACAAATGTGCTTTCAGAAAAGACACAATAGGGAATGTGAACAACCAAAATAACAGACAACAAACAAAATAATTTCCCAGTGGTAAGAGAGCTGTGCTAATATTGGCTGGAAAGAAGCATAATCATAAAAGCTCAGCTGGAAGAATGAAAAGCATGTTGGATTTTATTATTCAGTGAATTGATGCAAACAGGCCCTGGAAAGTATAGGCTAATTTGTAACGTCAGCATTATTACATTAAGATGTGACTAACGGGTATGAGGACAATTTTTCTTTTAATTCTGATGTGTCCTTTTTGCCTCTAAATAGTGTAATACTGGCAAGGAAGAGCTATCCTCAGGTGCAGGGTAATCGGACGTACCTGGTACGTGGAGACGGGGGAAGCAGCAATGAATGGCGTGATTGATGTCGGTGGAATCATACGGTTGGTTGCGATACTGTACGGTGAAGAATAAAATCTGCAAACAGAAAACAACACAAAGAACACTCATGAAGCGGCTGCATGCCTGGGCACTAGCCAAATGCCACCAGCACATCTGGGAAAGGCCAAGTTCCACCCTTGTGTTTTTCCACCACCTGTTAACAGGGGTATCTGGGAGATTTACAGTATCTGATGCCACTAAGAGAAATAAATCATCTGAACAAAATGGCAACTTCAAGTTGTCTTAGAAAATTAGCTGCACAAAATCTATCCTAATCCAGGTGAATATAATACTGTCTTTAACCAACAGGAGGAGAAAAGTTACAAGCAATATCCTTAAAAAAAAAAAAGTCAGTGCTGTTCTTTGAAAGAGCAGCCAATGAAAGAAAGTACCAAGTTTTGTAAAGATAGCTGATGTTACACGGACAGGGACTAGATCTACCTCTATTCAGGAAGCAAGAACTGTTGCCTAGAAAGTTCTATATATTATGTACTATGGCCCATGCTGTCCCGCAGAGAATACTTTCTCCATGGAAAGAGAAGAAAAAGGACAACTTGTGTCTAGGTTGGAACTGGAACATTTCTGGATTAGGTCAAGGTACTAGTGGAGATAGCAAACCTAGGTGATATGCTCTTGGAGACTCTAAGAAGCACTCAATTTCCTCTTCATTGAAGAATTATAAGATGATAGTGGGCAAGACTGAGAATTGAAAAAGCAGAGAAGGGATGATCCTTCTGGAGCTCTACTAAAGAGTAGTTCCTAAATACAAAAAACAGTGACATCTCTGCTGTAAGCAAAAGGCCAGACACAGGAGGACAAACCAGGGCAACTGAGATGGGTTATTTCACTGATATTAGGTTAGATTGGAAAAATTCATGCTAGGTAAAGGAACCATTTGCAAAAGTCAATATTATGTTCTTCTTTTTTTTTTTAACTACTAAGACAAAGTCTTAATTAAGCCTCAGGAATCACTGACATTTTCAACAGAGAACTGCATGGGTTACTTTAAAAGGAAGCATTTCATAAGACTTCTATTGAATGTAAGAGAATGAAAATTTAAAGTTACCAGATTCAAGTAAATTGGGATTGTAGACTTGCATTCTTAAATTTACTTTATTTAGCTCTTAACAAGGATTTTATAAGGGCATACAATTTTGGTTTAAAAATGTATAGATGAGAAAATTAGTCTATTATACATTTTATCCTTACTGTCCATGTCCACTGGACCCCTAAATTTACAGTTGTGAGATATAAAAATATACTGGCTAAATACCTACTGGAATGGCAGAGGCAGGGAGAGAGAGAAGGAGAGATAGAGTGAGTGGTGACAAGGATGCAGAGAAAGTGAACTCTTACTTACTATTGGTGGGAATGCAAAATGGTACAGCCAGTTTAGAAAACAACTTAGTAGTTTCTATGAAGTTAAATAGGCACATAGCATATGATCCAGAAAGTCCACTCTTCTTAGCCAAACATAAACAAAAACTTTGTTTACACAAAAGCCTTAATGTAAACGTTGATAGGGTCTTTTTCTTACTTGCCTAAAATGGTGGTAGGCTTGCTTGCCATGGTACCAAAATCTAAGTATGGTCCATCCCCTTACATGAAATGGTGGTGTTTTCATATAACATGCGCATATCCTCCTGTTTGCTCTGTGTCATCTCTGCATTACTTATAATACTTAATAAAATATAAATGATATGTAAATAGTTGCTCTACCATATTGTTTAGGAAATAATAAGAAAAAGCATCTTTACGCTTTCAATACTGACTTTTTTTTTCAAAAATTTCTATCACAGTTGGTTGAATAATGTGGAAACTGCAAATAGGAAGGACCAAGTATAACTACTGGTATATCCACATGGTGAATCTTAAGCAAATGCTAGATGAAAGAAAACTTTTAAGGCTGTGTACTCTATGACCCCATTTATATCACAACATTGAAAAGGCAAACTATAGAGACAGGAGAGAGATCAGTGGATACCAAAGTCTGGGGGTGGCAAATGATGTTGATTTCATAGGAGCATGAGATAATTTGAGGAAGGGAAGTAGCTATTCAATAGCATGACCATTTTTGTGGTGTCATAATTGTGTGTGTCAAAAATTTATAGACTTGTACACCGAAAGGAGTGAATACACTGTAGGTGAATTATACTAAATTTCCTTTTTTTAAACAGGCAATTGTGGCTGGGAACATGGCTCAAGTGTTGGAGTACTTGAGAGGGCATGAGTTCAAACCCCAGCACACAAATAAATAAATAATAATAAAAATAAAAAATAGGCAATTGCTATGTGAGAAATCATCAATTTTCCACTTTAAAATACTCAATAAACATTTACTGTATGTAACAAAGATGGATATGTACAAGACAGTGTTTATCTAGTCACTCAGTTTGTACCTTGTCTGTACGTTCATCACCTAAAATCTCCAAAGACTTTCTGTTGAATGAAAGTAAAACTTGAACTGGTTGCACTGGCCAGCACCATTGGGCTGCTGCCCTCTCTGATGTTTTTCCCCCCACTCCCCTTAGGTGCCCACCACATGGATGGTTCTTCTCTTCCATGACTTCATTGTCTCACTCCCATCTGGTTACAGAACCTGTAACTGTACTTAGAGTGTTTACTTCCCTAGTCTCCATAACACTGTTTCCTTCCATCTTTCAGCTCACTCCACTGTTTCTTATTTAGTGAGGCCTGTAACAAAAGTGGCAACCACCAGCTCTGCTCCAGGTTTTCTCTGTCCCATTTTCCTTACTGATTTTTTCTTTGCCTTTATCTGAAGCAGCAATTTTTAAAATTATATATACTGTAGATTGAATGTTTGTGTCCCCATTCATATGTTGAAATTCTAATTTCTGTTGTGGTTGTACTTGGAGATGGAGCCTCTACAGAAGTGAACTAAATGAGGTCAGAGGGTGGGTCTTGATTGGTTTGAATTAGTGACTTTAATAAAAAACAGATACCAAAGACCTTATTTTCACATTCTCTTCCCCCATACACACACAAGGAAAGCCCATTTAACAATATAGCAATATGATGTCTATTCACAAGCCAAGAAATGAATCCTCATCAAAACCTAATCAGTAGAATTAGGCCCTGCTTCTTAAGATAGGTCCTCGATCTTGAGCTTCTAGACTTCAGAATTTATACAAAGATAGTTTTCTGTTGGTTAAGACATCCAGTTGATTACTTCTTAATGGCAGCCTGGGCTGAGAAACCTAATATATTATTTCTCTTTAGAATGTCAGCTCAACCAGGGTTGAGGTCATACTGGCCTTGCTGCCTAGGAGGGAGTCCAAATTATAGTAGCTACTTAATAGCTCTATATTGAATTAATGAAGAACAAGTGCAGACCAGTTTAAGGAATCAAGTAGTGCTTACAGAATGGCCAATGCCTAGCTGGTTGCACAGAAGATGGGTCCCTGAAGCAGGTAGGAAGCTGAGAGATGAGAGCCAACAGAAGACACTCCAGTATCACATAGTAAGTGCTCAGTGGAAGTTTAAGTAGTGTCTGCTTTTTATGGATGCAAGAACATTTGTAACTTGAAAAAATGGTCCTTTTCTATGAAAAACATGGTTTGCATTTTAGAATCCCCTTTTGGTCTTATCTTTGACAGATCTTATTTACAAGGCAGTGAACAGAAAGAGTTGTCCAGGGCTCATAATGACAAGACAGGACCACTCAACAAGTAGTCTTTCTCAAACACCATGCCATGGCTTAACTTCTGGTAGAAACCCAGGTTCTGTCTCCTGTACTATGGGGAAAACCATGCATCACATTTTAGCATGGCTGGTCTGTTTTATAAAATGTACCAATTGGAGTATTAAAAATGAAAGCAATAAAAATTGGACTGACAGGCACAGTTCACAGGAAGTTCTATGGGGAAAACAGAGAGCAAATCATAAAGGAAACAGCCAAGAAAATGGATACTCACAAAAGGAACCCTTGAGGGGAAAGTTTTTGTTCTATCTGCTCTAATCCTATCCATTAAACAAGAATGATATTTCATACTTCCCAGCAAGTTCCAATACTGCCATTCAAGTCAGAGAGTCATTTAGAACAAGAAGTGTACTAGAGAGAGTGGACAAAACCTACTATCTTGATCCCCTTATTCTGGTGTCCCAAAGTAAGCTCTTCTCAAGCCCAAACAAACCAGATGAGTTCACCAAAACCCTTGCTGAAATCATGACAGGAGCAGCTGCTATTGCAAACAAACACTCTAAGGAGTGCTGGCCCTAAAGTTGATGCAGACTGCAAAGGACATACAAAGACATTATCAACCCTTCAGCTTGTTCCTAGTCTCTACTGTGTTTCCATAGCATGGTTTAAAAAACAAAAAAAGTTTGTGAGACCCCATCCCAACAGAAAAAGTTGGGTGTGGTGGTGTACATCTGTCATTCTAGCAATAGCAGGGAGTGCAAAATAGGAGGACCGTGGTCCAGACTAGTCTGGGCAAAAAGTGAGATGCTTTCCAAAATAAGGACTGGAGCAAAAAGGATTAGAGAAGTGGCTAAAGTGTTAGAGTGCTTGCCTAGAAAGTGTGAGACCCTGAGTTCTACCACACACACACACACACACACACACACACACACACAAACCCAAAACAATACAAAACCACTTTCATATTAAAACAAAATTAGAGCATCCTCCACTTCAAGTGGAGGTGTCATGTGTTGAGGAACAGGAAAGAGAAAATTGATCAAACGTCTTAGCCATAATAACAAAATGATTACATGACTTTTTGTTTTCACATCCCATAATATATGTATTATGCTTTGCAAATGCTGTTGCAGAAAGCTGGAAATGAATTGTTTAACGACTTATTTTCCTGAAAATAGTTTACTCTCTTAAGAGAGATTTTGTTGCCAAGATTTGCATAGTATAGTGAGCATTACAAGGATCTCTCTTGTGTTCCCAGTGATTCAGAGCCAGAGACAATTTTGCCTTCCAGGGGAATTTGGCTGGCAATGTCGGGAGACATTTTTGGTTGTCACAATCAGCTGCTACTGGCATCTATGTGGAGTGGTGTGTGATG